GTTTGCGGTCTCGATGAAGACGTTGAGAGCTCTCTCCACGTTGGCTTTCTGCTTGGTGGCCAGATAGCAGTAGTTCTCCAGGATGCGCAGCTGAACGTGTCCCGCTGGGGTTTGTGGCTTCAGCTCCTTCAAGAGCTTCTCCGCTGTTCTCACGGCCAGCTGCTCGGACTCCTGCTTCTCTGTAGAGTTCCTGAACTCCAAACAAATGAAATGCATCATTAGTAAGACTGAATAAAACTCAATATCAGCTTCTGTAGTTTAAAAGACGTATTGGTGAAGTGAAGATGGTCTGAGACACCTGGTATTAAGATCGGCAGGAACATGCATCTTAAATGCATCTCTGGTGACACTTGTGGACGTTTCGAGTGTCATTTTATTTAAGCAGATGTTTTAAATGGGTAATTCACCACTGGGAAAGTAGGCTTTCAATAAAACCTGGCTGTCTATGCTACAGAACGGCACAAAAAAGTGCTACCTGACTAGAGAAAACATAGCAAATGGCTATATACCTTTTGCTAAATAAATAGGAAAACCCATAATGCACTGGTCATGTTGCCTTCAAGGCCATTCCCAGTCTGCTCCTATTGGATAGGCTTGATCAGTCAAATAGTGGCTTGCTTGAGTAGGAAATACTTTTAGTCTAAGTTTAAGTTTTATAAGCACAAATGCTCGCGTTGCTCTGTTCTGTGATGTGCGTTCGTGACTCTCCTGTTCGAACTCGTTTTTGAGTCATTTCGTTCATTTTGTTCCTAGAGAAAGGCGAGCATTTGTGTTTATAAAACCTAAACTTTCTTATTTATTTTTGAAATGAGCGATCGTTTCGCTAAATAAGACCATCATTCATCGTCTGGTGTCGTTTAAAGCCCTTTGAAGCTGCACTGAAACTCTCATTTGGACCTTGAACCGTTTGGTTCCCATTGAAGTCCATTATATGGAGAAAAATCCTGGAATGTTTTCATCAAAAACCTTCATTTCTTTTTGACTGAAGAAAGAAAGACGTGGACATCTTGGATGACATGGTGAGTAAATAATCAGCAATTTCTTTTTTAAAGTGAACTACTCCTTTAAATGCATTTCTCACATGGCTCAATAATGTTGGACCCACCCCATGTCTCCGTCCAGGTTCTCGAACACCTCTCCTCCAATCGTCTCATTGTCAGGGTTGAGGCAAATCTCAATCATGTTGTACACTGCATTCTGGCCCCAGTCGTTGTCCTTCCGGGCTTTGTTAAAGTGACGCAACCCATCGTTCGGTTCACCGGTGTACCTTTGAGAAGCAGATGATTCATATTCATGTTCAAATCAAATTTGGGGAAAAGAAAAAAAAGAATTAGGGTAAATTCAGGTAGATTGGGACACTTTTGCCATTGAGATGACTGGGTAAAACTGTCCCAATCAACCTGAATTCACCCCTACTTTAGAGTGAAATGTGACCTGGACATGTTTTCATGAGATTCTCTCTATTTGCTTGATGAACCCTAGTGGATAACAAGAACATAATTCCTATTGTATTCAAATCAGTTTTGTTACATTTTAAAATGTAAAGTGATGTGATCAAAAGTTGAATTTTCAGAAATCATTCTAATATGCTGATTTGCTAACATTTGTGCCGCTTCACATTTTTGTGGAAACCGTGGATACATTTATTCAGGATTCTTTGATGAATAGAAAGTTCAAAAGAAGAGCATTTATTTGAAATAGAAATATTTCTGTAACATTAACAATACACTTAATTTTTTTTATTAATTTAACCCTTATGTTGTGTTCAGGTCATTTTGACCCGAAGAGAATTTTCTTTTTCCTGAAAAAGTTAGTTAATGATATTGCATTAGACTAAAACTTAGATCATTCTTAAATCAAGATACATTTATTTGAGATGCTACATGACGTCTTATTGTCTCAAAAATAATCAAAATTAGGTGTTTTTTGCTCAAAACAAAACAAAAATCTGCCAAAAGGATAAGAAAAATAAACTTGTTTGCTTTGAATTCTAAGACTTTGCTCACACGGTATAACTTCCCAAATATTTTGGGATAATTTGTGTACTTTTTTGGGATATTTCCACTTTGTTACAGGGTTTTCAACACAGCATTAGGGTTAAATACATATTTTCTGAATAAAAGAAATACATATTTTCTAAATAAAATAAAAAAACTGACCCCAAACTTTTGAACAGTGTATAACGCTGTCCCCTTTGCCAAAATATTTACTTACCCCTGAGATTTTAAGTGAATATTTAAATAATTTAACAACACATTCACATGTTCACGGTTCTCTGATGTCATTTAATGGTCACATGACATGCAGGTAAACAAAATGTGTTTTATTTTATTTATTTATTTTAATTTTATGTTTTCATTTATTTCATTAACCCCTTTGTGAACCCCAATTTTGGATCCATCATCATAAATAAAATAAAATCATAACCCCCCCTCCTCTATTTTCTTATTCTATAATCTTACCACAGGTAGAGCCCTTTGCAGTAGTTGTATCCCGGCTCAAACTTGGCCCTCGATGAGTGTTTCTCTGCCATCTCAAGGAATCTTGGAACCTCCTCCAGTTTGCCGGCTCTGCGCAGCAGATCAATGAGGCGGGACAGCGTTGGGTAGTTGTCTGAGGGAAGAGATCAAATGAGTTCATTAGAGCTCCCTTGTTTCTTGGGTTTGCTCTGCTGCCGTTTGACAACTCAGGAGATGAATGACACACCTGGTTTCTTCTCCAAGAGCTGCTGGAAGTGAAATACAGCCTGTTCATAGTCCTGCTTCCGGAACATGAGGTCTGCCATCATCTAACAACCAATACGGAGAAGAGACTATCACCAAATGCCAAAACTACCAAAGACTACCAAAACTATTTAAAAAAAAAAAAAAAGAAATGGTGTAAAAAAAGAAATGAACAGAACTGAACTTAATTTTTTTCTTCTTTAGAGGCTGACTTAAAAGGTTTGTTTATTTAAACATCAATTTCTCTATAGAATAAAAAAAAAAGAATTTTCCCTCCAAACTCGAGATGTTTATTCTGTTTATTCTGCCTCTGGATTCATCTGATTGGTCCACAGTGGTGAGGTTATGAGAGAGGGCTATCTGCTTAGGGAAACTGACCAGCGTGGCGGACTCGTTGACCGGATCGTTCTTCAGAATGGCACTGCACTGCTGTTGACAGGCCTCGACATCATCCAGGGTAAGATACAGCTGAGCCAACTCCAGCATCACCTGATTAAACACAAACACACACATTTACTTGCACAGATGGACACTAAAACGCACTTTTGAAAAGAATCATTATATTCTAAGTTTTGCATTTTTTTATGCAGTAATGCATGCATTTAAAAAACATAATTTATTAACATGCACATAAAAAAAAAGAAACCATGTACAGTGCAAGACAAATGTCCTCGAGACATTCTGGAAAGAAGTCCAGGCTCAGTCCTTTATTCATTAACCATAAAAAAGTGTGCTGCCAATTACACATCACCACATTTAACTGATGTTTCTCATGATCTCAGAAATAGTTTAAATGGAAAAATTGGAATCTTAAATATTATTTTCAAGTAAATAATTTTTTTGCTGTAATAACTACCCGTAATATAAATAATAATAATAATAATTAAATAAACATAAATAATATTATAATATTAAATACTAGTTGGGGTCATTAATATTAATATATTAAAAACATAAATAAATAAATAATAAATAAACAGTAAATAAATAAATAACATTATTTGTTATATCATTTTGGTGTTTATTTTAGTTGATTAAAACAGAACTGAATTAGCACCTTTAATTTGTAATTCCTTGGATTATCCAACAATAATATATATATATATATACTGTATATATATATATAAAACAAATAAAGTCATTTAATAATATATTATATATATATATTTGTTTTCTACATTACATGTTGCAAATACCAGGAGAGCATATTTAACATGGTCTATCTATGTAGTGATTGATTGGTGATGGTTTGCAGTGCAAATGTAGCTCTGTGCCGTGTTCAAATGCAGCGCACACACACACACACACACACACACACACTGACAGACGTCTCCAGGCTCGGCTGGACCCATCCAGCTGCAGAGGAACACACTGGACTCACTGATCCGGGCCACACTGACCTTGCTGTCACTTTCACAGTACACAAGCGCCTCTTTGTAAAACTTGACGGCCCGCTCGTAGCCGCGCTGGCTGCTGCAGTGTTTGGCGATCTCAGCACAGATCTCCGCGGCGAGCTGCTTCTGCGCGGGCACCGAGTCGGGCTGCTCCATCTGAACACGCTTCAGAACCTTCGCCTGCACATCTCTCGCCTGAGCACGAAGCACAATTTCACAACAAGTCAATCAATTGCTTAGGGCATGAAATTAAAAACACAACATTCTGTCATTATTTACTCACCTTCCAATACCTTTTGACAGAGCGACATAGTTGACATGTATGTGAAACATGAAATTGTAAATTGGTCTTGTGGATTTAAGGTGAGCTGTTGAAAGCTTTCAGAGGAGTGTGATTTTCATATTTAGCAATATTTGAATTAGCTTTTATTTTAAATTTCAAGTTTTTAGTAATTTTGTGATGTCTGTTTATCATTTTTATTTCAGTTTAGTCATTTTAGTACTTTAACTTAAAGGAGTATGTCCATGTCTTTCTTTCTTCAGTCGAAAAGAAATCAAGGTTTTTGATGAATCCAGGATTTTTCTCCATATAATGGACTTCAATGGGGTCCAAACGGTTCAAGGTCCAAAAGACACTTTCAGTGCAAACTGCAAACTGTTCAAAGGGCTTTAAACGATTCAAGACGATGAATAAGGGTCTTATCAAGCGAAACGATCGCCCATTTAATAAATAAAAAACAAAGTTTAAGTTTTATAAGCTCAAATGCTCGCCTTGCTCTGTTCTGTGTGACTCTCCTGTTCAAACTCGTTCATCAAAACGAACAAATCTTTTTCCGAGTCATTTGGTTCATTCAACGAACGTAACAAACAAAGTGACTTGGAAAATTTTGATGAACTAGTTCATTTTGATGAAAATCCTGGAATGTTTTCATCAAAAACCTTAATTTCTTTTCGACTGAAGAGAGAATGACATGGACATCTTGGATGAGATGGGGGTGAGTAAATTATCAGCAAAAGTTTTTCTATTTATTAAAAGGAATAATTTCTTGGTGTATCATCTAATATTTATATTTTATTTCAGCTTTATTTACATTACCGAAAAATGATTAGTAATAGTTTTACTTAACAAGAACAACACCGTTTCAGAGGAAAAGACATTCAACTCACTCTCTGTAGGGACAGTAACGCTTCATCGTTTTTATTGACTTTGCTCTGAACCTTGGCGAGAAGCACAAGATAACGACAGTCTTCGGTAAGTAACAACAGCTCATTCACTGAAAAAAACAAAGACAGAAAGACGTCACTGATAGCACATGAAAAAGAGCAACTGCATTGTGCACTACACAAGAATTGACTTTTAAATTATATGAAGCTGAACCACCTTCCAATCATCAATTAAAAGTGCACACCCATGCTTTCCCATGACACACCCAAAGGACAAATTTCATTTGTCAGTTGTGTAACAGGTTCCTGAATACACACAGTCCTGAGACTTAAAAATACCCAGCAGACAATATTCATGATCAGATGTCTGTGTTTGATGGCTGCCAAATCTAAACAAGCTAAAATCTCCATTAATCTAAAACAGCACTTTTTGGTCATTTTGAGCTTAATGTGCTAATAAAAAAATATGAAATCTCTTTTCCAGGATACCTGAACTGAGGTGTTGCCATTTTACAATACCTTCATTTCTGAGATATTTCTCACCAGGATCATGTGTGAGAGCCTCTTGCAGGATTTTTTCACAGCGTTCGTACTGCCTGAGCTTCATGAGCAGATCGGCCAGGTCATAACGCAGGAAACTCTGATGCCCGCTCTTCAGCGCCGCCTCGTAATAGTTAATTGCCTGGGAAGGGAAAAGATATAAGAAAGCTAGTTTTACTCTTATTGACGATCCCCTCCAAATAAGAGCTGTTTTTGCATTTTAAAATACTCCTCTCACAATGAGCAGATGTGTAACAAGCTTCCATTTTGAAAACGGTACTTACCTTTACATAGTTGTGGGTCTTGACGAGTGCTTTCCCAATCTTACTGGCCACAGCTCCATCTTTGGGGTTTTTCTTTAAGGCCTGTTCATATACTTCAATAGCCAGCTCTGGCTGTCGATAGAACACATTATTTTCAGACATATGTCAACATTATACATCCTCCACAGCATTACACCACCACCACCAGCCTGCACAGTGGTAACAAGGCATGATGGATCCATGTTCTCATTCTGTCTCCACAGAAACCGAGACTCATCAGACCAGGCGACATTTATCCAGTCTTCAACTGTCCAATTTTGGTGAGTTCTTGCAAATTGTCGCCTCTTTTTTCTATTTGTAGTGGAGATGAGTGGTACCCGGTGGGGTCTTCTGCTGTTGTAGCCCATCCGCCTCAAGGTTGTGCGTGTTGTGGCTTCACAAATGCTTGTAACGAGTGGTTATTTCAGTCAAAGTTGCTCTTCTATCAGCTTGAATCAGTCGGCTCGTTCTCCTCTGACCTCTCGCATCAACAAGGCATACTGGATGTTTTTCCCTTTTCACACCATTCTTTGTAAATGGTTGTGCGTGAAAATCCCAGTAACTGAGCAGATTGTGAAATACTCAGACGCCAACAACCATGCCACGCTCAAAATTGCTTAAATCACCTTTCTTTCCAATTCTGACATTCAGTTTGGAGTTCAGGAGATTGTCTTGACCAGGACCACACGCCTAAATGCATTGAAGCAACTGCCATGTGATTGGTTGATTAGATGATTGCATTAATGAGAAATTGAACAGGTGTTCTTTATAAAGTGAGTGTATAAAATAATTATATTATATCAATTTGTGTAAATATTTTTATGATAATGAAATACATTTTCCTCCCATTCACATCACAATACCATAATGCAAAATAAATAAATAATAATATTGTTCATCGTATGTAGTATTTGCTGATAAAAGTGCAAAAAAAAAACCTATAATGTTCCTAAAAAATAAAAATAAAAAAAAAGATCTGGAATTTCAACGACGGTTCCATTCTTTAGATAAGGATTCACTGTTTACGCTGTGAAGTAAATATTTGTGTGGTGATAGAGGCAGACATCTTATAAAAAAAAAAGAAATTCATATTTGAGCTTCTAAACAAAGATCTTCACTAACACAAATGTAAACAAAAGAATAAACAGCAAGAGCTCTCCCACCTCCTGAATGTTTATGTAGGCATCACCGAGTAACAGGAAGGTATGAGGGCTCGGCAATTTATCCACCAAATCCCTGATGAGACAGAAATGTTAATGCGTAATGCAACAGCGCGTATGTACAGTATATGAGTGTTTGATGATTGTTTGCACAGCTGTATCCGAGCTTGTTGTTGAAAACTGTCAACACACGTGAATAACATTCAAGGCACTAGAATACAGAGCATTAAAATGCAGGTTCAGCATTTCATTCAGGTCTCTAAATCATCAAATATTAAGGCGAGACATGGCAGGCAAAACCATAGTTTTTTTTTTCACTGGTCAATTTTGAGATTTTGGGATATTTGTCTTCAATAACATGTCTTCTTTCAGACTTGTGGTGAAAAAAGTCTGAAATACACATTTAGGTCTTTATTTTACTACACTTTGTCTGTTTGTGTCTGTAGATTTCTCATAAATTCTTCAAAAGTTGTTGTTATAAATCATTTTCTGCTCAGCAATCGTGATCTGCACCCTGTCATCACAACCACAGTTAGAAAGCTCTCTTTCTCTTGTACAACGCTGTCGGATCCAAATATGGTCATTTCCTTTTTATCAGCAACCAATCGTGAAAGTACGGAGCCCCTCTAGTCCCACTTTGGTAAAAAAAATTAATTATAACTATCTTGTGGCCTCAAGATAGTAACTCGTAACTCGTGGCCACAAGATAGTAACTCGTAACTCGTGGCCTCAAGATACTAACTCGTGGCCACAAGATAGTAACTCGTGGCCTTAAGATACTAACTCGTGGCCACAAGATAGTAGCTCGTGGCCACAAGATAGTAACTCGTGGCCTCGAGATAGTAACTCTATCTTGAGGCCACGAGTTACTATCTTGAGGCCACAAGTTAGTATCTCGAGGCCACGAGTTAGTATCTTGAGGCCACGAGTTACTATCTTGTGGCCACGAGTTACTATCTTGAGGCCACGAGTTACTATCTTGAGGCCACGAGTTACTATCTTGAGGCCACGAGTTACTATCTTGAGGCCACGAGTTACTATCTTGAGGCCACGAGTTACTATCTTGAGGCCACGAGTTACTATCTTGAGGCCACGAGTTAGTATCTTGAGGCCACGAGTTAGTATCTTGAGGCCACGAGTTAGTATCTTGAGGCCACGAGTTACTATCTTGAGGCCACGAGTTACTATCTTGAGGCCACGAGTTAGTATCTTGAGGCCACGAGTTACTATCTTGCGGCCACGAGTTAGTATCTTGAGGCCACGAGTTACTATCTTGAGGCCACGAGTTACTATCTTGAGGCCACGAGTTACTATCTTGTGGCCACGAGTTACTATCTTGAGGCCACGAGTTACTATCTTGAGGCCACGAGTTACTATCTTGAGGCCACGAGTTACTATCTTGAGGCCACGAGTTACTATCTTGAGGCCACGAGTTACTATCTTGAGGCCACGAGTTACTATCTTGAGGCCACGAGTTACTATCTTGAGGCCACGAGTTACTATCTTGAGGCCACGAGTTACTATCTTGAGGCCACGAGTTACTATCTTGAGGCCACGAGTTACTATCTTGTGGCCACGAGTTACTATCTTGAGGCCACGAGTTAGTATCTTGAGGCCACGAGTTAGTATCTTGAGGCCACGAGTTAGTATCTTGAGGCCACGAGTTAGTATCTTGAGGCCACGAGTTAGTATCTTGAGGCCACGAGTTAGTATCTTGAGGCCACGAGTTACTATCTTGAGGCCACGAGTTACTATCTCGAGGCCACGAGTTAGTATCTCGAGGCCACGAGTTAGTATCTTGAAGCCACGAGTTAGTATCTTGAGGCCACGAGTTACTATCTTGAGGCCACGAGTTAGTATCTTGAGGCCACGAGTTACTATCTTGAGGCCACGAGTTACTATCTTGAGGCCACGAGTTACTATCTTGAGGCCACGAGTTACTATCTTGTGGCCACGAGTTACTATCTTGTGGCCACGAGTTAGTATCTTGACGCCACGAGTTAGTATCTTGAGGCCACGAGTTAGTATCTTGAGGCCACGAGTTACTATCTTGAGGCCACGAGTTAGTATCTTGAGGCCACGAGTTACTATCTTGAGGCCACGAGTTACTATCTTGAGGCCACGAGTTACTATCTTGAGGCCACGAGTTAGTATCTCGAGGCCACGAGTTAGTATCTTGAGGCCACGAGTTAGTATCTTGAAGCCACGAGTTAGTATCTTGAGGCCACGAGTTACTATCTTGAGGCCACGAGTTAGTATCTTGAAGCCACGAGTTAGTATCTCGAGGCCACGAGTTAGTATCTTGAGGCCACGAGTTAGTATCTTGAAGCCACGAGTTAGTATCTTGAGGCCACGAGTTACTATCTTGAGGCCACGAGTTAGTATCTTGAGGCCACGAGTTACTATCTTGAGGCCACGAGTTACTATCTTGAGGCCACGAGTTACTATCTTGTGGCCACGAGTTACTATCTTGTGGCCACGAGTTAGTATCTTGACGCCACGAGTTAGTATCTTGAGGCCACGAGTTAGTATCTTGAGGCCACGAGTTACTATCTTGAGGCCACAAGATAGTTATAATTAATTTTTTTTACCAAAGTGGGACTAGAGGGGCTCCGTATGAAAGTAAAAGGGGGATTTAACTTTTCTCTCATACTCCAAGTCTGAAATCTCCGCTTCAGAAGCACCTATATACACCAAACTTTTCCAGTCGTGTACCTAGTTATATTATGAAGACATTTACAGAGGGATTTGTAAATATCCTATTTCTAGCCTGATTTATATAACATTTTATTCCAAAAAACATTGCGAAAATCATTTTTTAAGCCAATTGGCTGTATATTCTGATTTACAGGATAACAAAAGTAGATATCCATAAATCCCTCTGTATTTTTTTTCTCATCTAATATGTGAACACATTGAAAAAATTATTTTGAACCTGGCTTTATCCAATACTCAGATTTCGTTTTTTAAATACGTGCAAATTAGTGCGTATTTAATTAGATGATGCCTCATTTGCATATTTAAACATTAAATTACAGAAAACTTGTAATATATTTTTTTTCTCATCTTAATGTAGGTAATCAACTGGGAAAGTTTCATGATGATATCTGCTAGTTAAAAAAAAAATTACCCTATTCACCTGTAGTGTCTCACCTTAAAGATAAATACTGGTGCCTATTTTTAGAAACATGAGGATATTTGCAAAATATATATAAATATATATAGAAAGAGAGAGAAAGAGAGAGAGAGTACTACATTAAAGTTACTGTAGAGAGCAATAAAATACTATATTAAGAATACACTCATTATTCTGATGAATTAGCTGTATGTTCAAGAGATATTAGGGGAAAATGTGACCTGGACATTCACCTATATGCTGAGAAAAACATATTCTGTAAGCTATAATACGTGTAGTGAACATGAGGAGAACATTTGACAAACGTTCAAGACGTTACCTATAGCAGCTCACGTAAAGCCGTTTCTCTTTCCTGTGGTTCAGGTAGATGTCTGCCATTTTTTCTTTGGCCTGTACATAGTATGGCTGCTCTGGCGTGATGTTTCTGAGCATGCTCAGTGCCAGTTCAGTATCTCCTCGCATTAGAGCAAGGTCCGCATTGGCTATGGTGACTCGTAGCTCCTCTGGAGTGCCCGTAAACTCATTAATGGCGTCTTGCATCACTTTAGCTGCCTCGTGCTGGAAGTCAAAACTACTTTTAATCCCCAAAACAAGGTACTAGCAAAATAATACACATTTTTACTGACAAAACATGCATAATAATGAGCAGATGTAGAAAAGACGTCATTTGAAAAACACAATTTTTCTTCTAAAAGTTCAATTCACATTCATGAATTCACCAAATGCATGTCTACATTACAATTTAGAGTGATCTTTTATAACACGTGACTGTGTCCAAGTTATGAATTTCATAAATGTACATATACAAGTCACATTTAAACAATGTATTAATGTAAGACAGAAACAACGAGCTCATTAAAGTAATGAACATGTTTATTAACAAATGATTAGAATATATAGAGCATTTTGCAAGATGTAAACAAAACTGGTCCAAAAGCACTTCCTGTTTCACTTTTTTAACACTACATAAAAAGCTGGGATAAAATACCACCAACAGAACATATAAAACTGAATCAAAAAGTTAAACAAACATCTTTAAGATGTTTTCTTTACATGTGAAATAAAGAAAACAGTTACAAACTGAAACAGGAAGTGCTTCTGGACCAGTGTTGTTTACATCTTGCAAAATGGTCTATAGAAAAATGCAGCATTGGTTGTCCACTAACCTGTTCTCCATTGAGCCACAGAGCCTCAGCTAGTTCCAGGAACACAGATACGCAGTCGGCCGAGTTGAGCTCAACTCTCTTGCTCTGTCTTTTGGCTGAAGAGCCTGCTCTCTTCACAGCGCACAGACTCATGGCCATCTGCAACGTCTGAATGGCCTCCTGAAGCTGCCCCATCTTCCTCTGAGCCTGAGCCTTTATCAGGTGATAGAGCGGATGCTCGCGGATCTAAGAAAAAAGGACCAGTCCCATCAAATCCAATGATACATTTAAACAGGTTTGACTCTGCACTAAGAGAGTCCGAGACGGCTGGCAGTGGTGATGCGTCACCTCAAAGTTGTGGCTGAGGCAGAGTTCCAGAGATTGGGCGGAGAGCTTGAAGTTGCCCTGCATGAGATGTATCTGAGCCATGAGGAGATGGGCATCAGCATGAGCCGGGTTCTGATCCAAACAATGCTGCAGACTGCTGTGGGCCGCCTCCATGTCTCCTGCAGGAGGACAACTCAGCTTAGCTGGGTGATGACATCACTGTTTTCTGGACTCATTTCCTAACTGATGCACTTTAGAGTTACTGAATAACGACTGTTTACTGTTGTTGTTGTTTTAGAGCTGCTTAATAGCAGAATTTAATTCTGTTTGTATCATTGAATTTTATTTTCCTGTTATTAATGTGAAGCTGCTTTGAAAAATTAATTGTATAAAGTCCTATATAAATAAAGGTTACTTGACTTGACAACAAATGAAGAGAGCACAAGCCTGACTAACTGGGTGAATTGACCAAAAAAGGAAACAAACAATCATATTTTAAATGAAGAATAGTTATTAAGCTGATTTTAAGACTATTTTTGCATTGTAACACTATTTTTTTTTTTACTTTGTACCCAAAATTACTGTAACATGCAACAATAATGTCAAAATGACATTTAATTAATTTTTAATTAATTTTTTGTTAAGTGAAATAAAATAAACGTCAAAAGAAAATAACTTAAACCTAATTTATTTTAGCTAGCTGCCAAAGAAAAATGTCTCATTTCCATTTAGTTTAACTTGTGCTAAAATAACTAATTAAAAATGATTAAACAAAATTTATACACATATTTTGAAAAACAAAAAAAATATATAAATGTCAAAAAAAAAAATATATATATATATATATATATGAAGAGTTCAGATGCAAAAGCCTCTAAATGCCATTTGAAATTTTCTTCTTTAATGATGATTTTTATCAAACTTGTATATTTAAGTTCAGTAATTTTACTTAAATAACAATTAATAGGTAATTATCATTGCCATTTAAGTGAAATTACTGAACTTAAATATACAAGTTTGATAAAAAAACATCATTAAAGAAGAAAATTTCAAATGGCATTTAGAGGCTTTTGCATCTGAACTCTCCATTAGGGCTGTGCAAAAGTTAATTGCGATTAATCGCATCCAAAATAAAAGTCTGTGTTTACATAATATATTTGTGTGTGCTGTATATAATTATTTTGTATATATAAATACCTATGCATGCATGTATATATTTAAGAATTATTTGCGGTTAAATTCTGTATATATTTATAAATACATAATCTATATTATATAAATATAAATATTTTATATATGAATAACATATTTTCTTAAATATATACATGCATGTGTGTGTATTTATATATACAAAATAATTATATACAGCAGACACAAATATATTATGTAAACAGAGACTTTTATTTTGGATGCGATTAATCGTAATTAACTTTTGCACAGCCCTAATATATATATACAGTATATATATACACAAGCACATACACACACACACACACACACACACATATTTATATATATATATATCCATATACACACACATATATATATATATATATATACACACACACACATTTAAAAAACAAAAACAACTAATAAAAATGTCAAAAAAAAATTAAAAATGTCAACAAAACTATTTGAAAACTGAAGATACAAAAATAAAAACTAATTTAATTATATATATATATATATATATATATATATATATGCTATAAAAATATTTTAAAGATAATAAAATATCTGCCTAGAAGTGAAAAGCTTGAGAGTCAGGACATTTGATTTCAGCTTGTAAAATAAAATAAAAAAATAAAATCAGACTTATCAGAAAAGCACACACCTGACTGAAATCGGACTTTGGCCATTAGAAAGCCGGCCTGCAGCAGACCAGGGACTACTTTCAGCACTGTGTCCAGCACAGACGCGCAGTGCTGCAGCTGAGGGGATGGAGGCTGACCTGGAGCTGGAGGCTGGAGAGAGAACATCAGTCAACAAACTACAACAGTAACAGGAATCATGACAGACTCCAAATGAAGGCTATTCTGTCTGATCACTTAAATGGATAGTTCACTTTGAAAAGCGCCCTCGCCCTCAGAGTACTTGGGCATGGCTGTGATTACAAGAGACGAGTCATTTACGAGTCATTAAATCATGTTTAATTTGGACTTCTCTGTGCATGCTCTTTGAGGTGGTGACCATAGACCTCCATTATATGACTGACAGACAAGAACAGTTTGACCTAAAAATATCAAAATTGAAAATACTGTGGAAACAAAGACACCTACATCTTGGATGCTCTTGAGGTAAGCTAAAACATACCAAAAATTAATTTCAAAGTGAACTATCCCTTTAAGGGTGGGTGCTATTGCCTTGCAAGGCAGTTACTAGAGTGTTCTGATTGGTTGACAGGCAATTAATAGAAATCTCAGAGTATATGCAGCTTCAGGTTGGTAGTCCAAGGCTGTCTATTTGTTCTTCCGGGGTTCTTCCCACCGGAGCCTCGCTTTCGATTTCAAAATGGGGGCTGCGTGAAATCAGCGTATTTGGTATTGCTTTGCATGGTATTTGCTAAACAGCTACTAGGCTTCTGATGGCTTGTTAGGCAGCGCATGGGAGGGAAAACCTTGGCTGGAGACAGTGCCAAGTATTCCTTGGCGATCTCGAGCAGGAAGTCGGGGTTGAGCTTCTCAAAGTACTCGACGCTGAGAGGCAGACCCTGCAGGGCGGAGAAATGTGTGTCCACTGTGTCGTTTAACAAGTTGGTCGCCTCGTCTGGGGGCCGACGCTTTTTCACAGCCAACAGCGCTCGCAGATACAGCAACTCCTAACACACACAAACACACCTTAAAAGATCATGCATGTGCTTTAACATGTCGTGTGGTAGATCATCGGTTCACTAATGTCTTAATTGCTCAGTTAAAGCTCAAAATAAAAGAGAAATGCTTTTTTTTAAGGGTTTTTGTTTCGTTTTTACTAAATTATGCTCCTCTACAAATACAACATGGCAGCTGTTTTTGCTAAGCAGATGTGCATTTGTGTAAATGTGTGCTAAACTGCCCGACAAGGGCCTCGGTTTGTGTAAACAGGCCCCGTTACGTACTTTGGATGACTTTAACAGGTAAACACAGCATAAGTGGATTAATAAACCAGGTCTCTGTTGAATATGAGTCAAAAGATAAATATTCTACAAAAAACACTTTATCTCTTCATTCTGTGAAGAGAATTCTGGAAACAGTCTGTGTGTATGGCAAGCCATTTTAGCTTTTATTCATTTCCAGGATAAGAATTCTTGATATCAACATTTTTGATATCAAGAATTCAATTGTTGATATCAAGAATTACATTTTTGATATCAAAAATGTAATTCTTGATATCAAAAAAGTAATTCTTGATATCAACAATTGTATTTCACTTGTGAAATGTCACCATAGGCTGCCATTCAAAACCAAATTGTTGATATAAAGAATTTAATTGTTGATATTGTTGATATCAACAATTAAATTCTTGATATCAACAATTAAATTCTTGATATCAAGAATGTAATTGTTGATATCAAGAATTCATATCCTGGAAATGAATAAAAGCTAAAACGGCTTGCCATACCGTGTGCAACATTGTTCGAGAGCTCATGTTGATTTTTAAAGTAAGATAGTATGTGATGTAAATGCTCTCTCACCCCTGATTTGCCAATGGACTGCTGGATCTCAGTGAGGAACTCCAGCTGCTGTTCTGCATCCTCTAAGTGTCCCTCCATGAGCTGACACCTGATGATACCTGCACAAACACACCAAAGTCAATGCTCTTTTCTGCTATTTTAATGCTCTTTCCAGTAATCCATTTTAAGTGATTAAAAATGTTTATGTCAGGCATCCTAGATAGAGATGTTTTAGTATTATATATATCAGCCGTATTATATAGATCAGCAATGTCGTTGGCCGTATTCAAAACCTACTTATTAGATGTAGCCTCGGGGTCAGTCTAAAGTAGCTTGGCTTTATGTGTGAAAGGGACATAGCTTGTATTTGTTTCCTGTTTTAGGTTTATATTCCACTGTTTGTCTGTATGTAAATGTAGGTAAATTGTTTTATATCGTTTTATTTTCCCTGATTGTGAAGCACCTTGGGCAACGTCTGTATATATATATATATATATATATATATATATATATTAGGGCTGTGCAAAAATTAATTGTGATTAATCGCATCCAAAATATTCATATATAAAATATTTATATTTATATAATATAGATTATGTATTTATTTATATATATAAATATATACAGAATTTAAGCACAAATAATTCTCAAATATATACATGCATGCATAGGTATTTATATATACAAAATATGTTTATGTAAACACAGAATATGTTTATGTAAACACAGACTTTTATTATGGATGCGATTAATTGCAATTAATTTTTGCACAGCCCTAATATAAATATAATTTTTTTTGAAACTTTTGTCAACTTTATTAGTTTTTGAATATTTCAATTTAGCTTTCATTTTTATTTCAGTTTTAGCAATTGTAGTACTTCAAACTAAATAAAAATCAGTTATCTGATATTCATTTTTATTTCCTACACATTTTCCATTCTAATACTTTTCCAGAGTCAAATTTCCAAACCTCTCTTTTCAGACCATATTTAACATAAATAGTTCATACAGCATTACATTTGTTATATAGACCATTTCACAAGATGTAAACAACACTGGTCCAGAAGCACTTCCTGTTTCAGTTTGTAACCGTTTTCTTTATTTCACATGTAAAGAAAACATCTTAAAGATGTTTGTTTAACTTTTTGATTCAGTTTTAAATGTTCTGTTGGTTGTATTTTATCCCAGCTTTTATGTAGTGTTAAAAAACTGAAACAGGAAGTGCTTCTGGACCAGTGTTGTTTACATCTTGTGAAATGGTCTATAGTACAGTCATCTGAAAATATTCTTATTTTCTCATGTTTTTTTCATTAGTTTTCTCGAAGTGATGACTTTATAACCTGCTTATATTCCACTCTGTTTGATACTGTAATTGTGGTTTGATGTTGAAAGTACAAAAAAAAAAGTTTGTTTGCTCTTTTATCTGTTGCTGTGAAGTTCAAAAGAGACTTGCATAATAAAAATTTGTGCCTTGAATTTGTTCAATTGTGTTTAAAAAATTGCCTTAAACACTCTGCTTTCATGATACATTTATTTTAAATTAAATTCTTAAATTTATATTTTAGAAAACTGAATAGGGTCAATAGCCTGGAAACGTCTGGATATTTTTCCATATTTATCCAGACCTGGAAATGACTCTCAAATGAATGAAAAATCCCATACTTTTCCAAACTGCATAGGAACCCTGTGTTTAGAACTTTTAGTTAACACACTGATCTTAGATAATCCTCTGATTAAGTTATTAGAAGTTGCTAAAATCATTTAATAGATGGTTTGATGCTTTTATGACATGATGGCAACAGCAATGATAAAAGATATTCCAAAAACTCAACATTTAAAATCTGAATAAAAATGTATTCCATATAGTGTAAGTGTAGGCTGTTTACAATTGCCACTTTGTAAATTAATATAGAATATACAGTCACATATGTGCATTTATTAACATTTTGTATGCCAACTCTGAATGTGACCCATGCACTTATTTTATAGTTTATATAAGTATTCATTTATTTTTCCTTATGGCTTTCAAACTGCTCTCACCCATCAAAGCAGGGACGCTGCTCTCATCGAGAGTCATCGCTGTCTTGTACCATTTCATGGCCTCTTTCACCCTTCCCAGCAGAACCAGTTGGTAACCCATCTCTGTGGCCAGCTCAGAGTCGCCCGAGGCCTGTGTAAACGCCCGCTCCACCATCCTGTGAGTGTGCTGAAGAATCTTCTCAGCTCGTCCACACTGCAGAGGGATCAAATATTCACAATATTACATCTACATGCAGCATCTCTTATTTTGTCAAAATGTGTTATTTCTAGGGCTGTGCAAAAGTTAATTACGATTAATCGCATCCAAAATAAAAGTCTCTGTTTACATAATATATTTGTGTGTGCTGTATATGATTATTTTGTATATATAAATACACACACATGCATGTATATATTTAAGAAAATATGTTATTCATATATAAAATATTTATATTTATATAATATAGATTATGTATTTATAAATATATACAGAATTTAACCGCAAATAATTCTTAAATATATACATGCATGCATAGGTATTTATATATACAAAATAATTATATACAGCACACACAAATATATTATGTAAACACAGACTTTTATTTTGGATGCGATTAATCGCAATTAACTTTTGCACAGCCCTAGTTATTTCCCATTGAATGAATACGGCATTAGGCACATTGATTATTGTTTTCATTCTACACATGCCAGATGTCAGAAGGTCATTGTGAATCTTTGTGTGTTTGTTCCCTATAATGTCATATTTAGGAGTGAATCACATTTATATGAAGTGTATATATAACAGCATGTGGCAAAAGCCAGCTGGTGTGTGACTCAAAGGATTCTAACATTCAAGTGAAAATGAATCTTAAGTGGTGTGATGACTTTAATCTGTTTGTGTAGTTGAGTGTCTCTAATCTGAGTATTAAGTATTACCACTCGAGTGAACGCTAAAGACATCCTGTAGAAGAGCTCCGGATTGTTCAGTTCTTGAATGTCCAGATTACTGATCAGATTTGATAGTTGGTTTACGGACTGTAAAAAAGAGAAAGAAAATTAAAGAGAATCATTAAAGCTTTTGACACTGTTAATCATCAGGCATTACTGGAACTCCAGCAATTTAGAGAAAGGGAAAGAAAATGAATGAGAATCATATAAAAAAATGTAAAAAAAAAAAAACATACAATACTGGGTAGGCTTTTGAATCTTACTGGCCCACAAAAGCTGCATTTATTTGATCAAAAAATACAGTCAAATCAGTACTACTGTGAAATATTGAATACATATTTTCTATTTAAATATGTAATTTATTCCTTTGATGCAAAGCTGAATCATTACTCCAGTCTTCAATGTCACATGACCCTTCAGAAATCATTCTAATATGCGGATTTGTGCTGCTAAATATCATGTGAAATTCATGAAACATCATGTTTTTAGGATTTGTTGATGAATAGAAGGTTCTTATTTACTTAAGCATAGCGCCCACAACATAGTACCCACACCCTCAACGATATAAATAGGTAAAAACGATATAAAAACTGTTCGTTTTCTCACACAAACCGCTCGTTTCGTGTCTTAGGCCATCAATGTGTACTTACATTTACGAGTCATTAAATCATGTTTAATTTGGACTTCTCTGTGCATGCTCTTTGAGGTGGTGACCATAGACCTCCATTATATGACTGACAGACAACAACGGTTTGACCTAAAAATATCAACATTGAAAATACTGTGGAAACAAAGACACCTACATCTTGGATGCCCTTGAGGAAAGCTAAAACATAGCAAAAATTTATTTCAAAGTGAACTATCCCTTTAAGCCACACTGAAATGTGATCCTTTCTGAACTAGAAAGGAACAAAATTCAAAGCAACGCTCTCTTTTTATTTGCAATCCACTAAATAAGTATTTGTGAATTATACTGAGACCATCTATAAATGATGCTTCTGGCATTTGATCTGTGTAAACACACGTATGTTAGTAATGTCATACCTCTGCAATGTCTCCTTCCCTGCAGAGAGAGTGCAGGGCCAGCATCCTCAGAGCCTCCAGGTTATTTTTATCTCGTTGGAGAAGCCTGGGAAATTTAAAATATCAGGGAATTTAGACTAAAGTACTGTATGTTTGTGTGTAAAACAGATATTCTGAGACATGCATCCATGTCTTTATTTAACATTTATATATACATTTTGAATATCCATAATAATCATTACTTAATTCTGAAATGCACACCACATTGTTAAATTTGAGCGAACCTTTTAGTAACTTACACACAGCACCTGCTTTATTCAGACTGATGTGCCTGTCATCTGTTTTAATTACAGGAGAAATCCATTATATTGTTTTCATGTTACAAAAAAAACTAACTTTTGACAGACATTTTTGGCGTTATTTCTGTGAATCAGTTCAAACTGTCAATTTCAATGAATAATTTCAAAGCAAATCAGAGGTGTGAAAGTTCTTGCATGGGATTTTTAAATATTAAAATGTTATATGAGGTAAGTATAGCCATTCATTACTATTTATTGTTGTATTCATGCATTTAAAGGATTAGTTCACTTTTGAAAAAACTTTTGCTGATAATTTACTCACCCCCATGTCATCCAAGATGTCCATGTCTTTCTTTCTTCAGTCGAAAAGAAATTTAGGTTTTTGATGAAAACATTCCAGGATTTTTTCTCCATATAATGGACTTCAATGGGAACCGGATGGTTCAGGGTCCAAAAGAGAGTTAATAACTGTTTCAGATGCAGCTTCAAATGTCTTTAAACGATATCAGACGATGAATAAGGGTCTTATCATGCGAAACGATCGGTTATTTCAAAACTTATTCCAAAAATGTAACTTTTCTAAGGACAAATGCTAGCCTTGTAATAAATTGTGAGGTGCGTTTGCAACGTCACGTAATACGTAATTACGTTCAAAAGGTCACGGGCGACGTAGCCGGAAGCACAGAATCAAAGCACAGAATTCCTTTTTTGTAAACGGCGTTTGAGTTAGTTTTCACGTTTAACCTATGCGTTCAACTTGTAAACAATCTGACTCTGTAGTTCTGGCTACGTCGCCCGTGACCTTTTGAACGTAATTACGTATTACGTGACGTTGCAAACGCGCCTCACAGAATGGAGAAAGGCTAGCATTTGTCCTTAGAAAAGTTACATTTTTGGAATAAGCTTTGAAATAACCGATCGTTTCGCATGATAAGACCCTTATTCATCGTCTGATATCGTTTAAAGACATTTGAAGCTGCATCTGTAACTGTTATTAACTCTCTTTTGGACCCTGAACCATCCGGTTCCCATTGAAGTCCATTATATGGAGAAAAATCCTGGAATGTTTTCATCAAAAACCTAAATTTCTTTTCGACTGAAGAAAGAAAGACATGGACATCTTGGATGACATGGGGGTGAGTAAATTATCAGCAAAAGTTTTCAAAAGTGAACTAATCCTTTAAATGAAAATGATTAAATATAATTATTTCATTAATGTAGTGGAAAACATTCCTTGATTATTTTACTTCTTGCATTAAACATTTAGATAAATCTTACAAATGTATCTAAATTTAGAAAAATTTGACAATAATGACTGTTTAGTTACTCAGAGTGACCAGAATCACTCTTTTTAGCCATTTCAGAGCAAAACAAAGCATCCAGCTCCACCTGAGAGAACTGGTTTTCACACAGACCCTTTGAGGTCTCGGCGTGGAGTTCGTTCGCACCGCTCTTAGTGATCAGCCTAAAAGACCCTTTTATTCTGTCGCTGACTGGCTCTCATCCTACAGGGTGAGAGAAACAATGATCCAGTCTCTCGGTACAGATCTCAATTAATTTCCATTTGCACTTGAATGCAGCTCACCTCTGAAAGCCTTTGAGAGCTTTTGGAGTGTATTTAAAAAGCATGAAGATTACCCGAACCATAAAAAACAACAACATCAAATAACATGAAGATCTGCGATGTTATGGAGTCTTACCTCTGAGCGGCATCAACGGTTTGTTCCCAGTCCTGTAGAGTCAACAGCAGCTTCATCTTCTTGACCAGGGCAGGTAGAAAGGACGGGTAACTCACGATCACCTGGTTAATGGTCTCTAAAGCACCAGAATAATTCTGACGAAATTCATAATATTGTACCTGACAGAAAGACACAATTAGAACATTACAACAGAAAACCTTTTGCGAAAAAAATATTGCATTTGTTGCATACCGCCTTTAATTTATGCACAAACTTTTTTTTTTATTGTCATGAACAGTCACAATGTAAAAAAAAAAAAATTAAATTAATTTTACTTAATTTTTCATAATGAATCACATAATTTCCTAGGTTTCTATTTTTATTTTGTGAGAAGTGATTATGCTGAGATTCACTCAAATATTTTTTTAGGACATCAGCCACTGAATGTTACCTTTTAATTGATTCTACATGGTATATACACTGTATTTTAAATTTAAAAATTACACGTCACTTTTAAGTTGTAAACCTTTTGCAAAATGAAAATCAAAAATGTGCAAGCATCTTATAAGTGAACATCAATCTGTATGTTTCTGTGTGCTGAATTATTGAATGGTCATGAGAAATAGAGTTACCTTCCCCATCAGAGCAAAGATATCACTTTTCTCCTTCAGGGCCTCGTCAAAGTATTTCCCAGACTTCTTAGCATCTTTATCCGATCGCAGATCAATCCAGCCTTTCAGAACAATTCCCTACAAAACCATGATCCCAACAGCTACATAAGTGACACAAAATTTCTTTCATTTTATGTCTGAATAGTTTTTATTAATTTTTATTTCAGTTTTAGTTATTTTATTACATCAAGACATTTTATTTTATGTCAGTTAACGTTCATTTTATTTCAAGTAACAAATATGTGGGGGTTTTTATGGTTTTATTTTTAGGCCCCCTGAAGTTTTATTTAAAGGGATAGTTCACTTTGAAATAAATTTTTGGTATGTTTTAGATTACCTCAAGGGCATCCAAGATGTAGGTGTCTTTGTTTCCACAGTAGTTTCAATTTTGATATTTTTAGGTCAAACCGTTCTTGTCTGTCAGTCATATAATGGAGGTCTATGGGCACCACCTTAAAAAGCATGCACAGAGAAGTCCAAATTAAACATGATTTAATGACTCGTAAATGTAAGTACACATTGATGGCCTAAGACACGAAACGAGCGGTTTGTGTGAGAAAATAAACAGTATTTATATCGTTTTTACCTCTTGTTACCACAGCCACGTCCAAGTGATCTGAGGGTGCGGGCGCTTTGTGGCTGTGGTGACAAGAGGTAAAAACGATATAAGTACTATTCATTTTCTCACACAAACCGCTCGTTTCGTGTCTTAGGCCATCAATGTGTACTTACATTTACGAGTCATTAAATCATGTTTAATTTGGACTTCTCTGTGCATGCTCTTTGAGGTGGTGACCATAGACCTCTATTATATTACTAACAGACAAGAACAGTTTGCCCTAAAAATATCAAAATTGAAACTACTGCCCTTGAGGTAAGCTAAAACATATCAAAAATGTATTTCAAAGTGAACTATCCCTTTAAACCAGGGGTCACCAAACTTTTTTCTCTGGGGGCCACATTATCGTTCCTGACTGTGATGGGGGGCCGGGGCTATATAAAATAGAATTGTGTGACCAAGACCAAACTGACCACCAGCAGGCCTCATAGTAGAGATTACTAGCCTGGCACAGCCATATTTGTTTATCATTAATAGTTGTTTGCAAAAGTAGTAATCGAGTCTTCACACTTTGTTTTAATTTGAAATACCACAGATTTTCCATTTATTTATTTTCGAATACAAATAACATCAAACCTGTCAAGGTAAGAAACATCTGCCTAGTTGAGGTGAGTGGCACTGGTAAGGATGAATGAAAAATTATAAATTATAGGTAGGCCTGTTACTATTTATAATAATTGTGTACAGCACTTAATAAAGGTCAAATAAATAGGCCTATAAAATAAATAAATAAACATTGAAATTATAACAACAACATGAGTAATAGAACTAGTCAGCTCTTATGCCTATCCAGGTGAGCATGCTCAATAAACAACAAAATACCAAATGCAGACATGTTATTATTTTCCAAAAAGCAATTTAAAAAAATAGGCCATGACGACTTTTGGGGATTGCCGGTTCAAGTAGTGGGGGGCAGAGGGGTTGGGGGGCCAGTCAAAGGGGTGTGGCGGGCCTGATTCGGCCCGCGGGCCTTAGTTTGGTGACCCATGCTTTAAACCATCATTCACTAAATTTCACCCAAAATGCATCTTAATGCATATAATTTTCATCCTGCTATCAGACTTATGCCACTGACCACTATGATACTGGCAACTTTATCAGGCTTTTCCCATCATGAAAAGCTCCTTCAGGTAGATACATTAGAAAAGTTCACCTCTTTAGAGCCATTGGAGATCTTGATCATTCTGTCCACATACTCTCTGGCTTTGTCATTGCGACCCAGAAGCCACAGTAGCATGCCAGCATAATACAGAGCTTTAGGACTCGCCGTCTTCCTCTCCTCCTTCACCCTTCCATCCAACTCCTGGATGACATCGCGGTCTGCAGGCAAGTCATTATTTATTCATTCTTGTGTCTTTTCAACCCAGTATGCAAATATAATCCCAGGCAACACAAATGATTTTAAAGGGATACTCCACTTTTTTTGGAAATAGACTAATTTTACAACTCCCTCAGAGTTCAACAGTTGAGTTTTACCATTTTCGAATCCATTCAGACGATTTTCCAATATTTAGAAGAACATCAGTAACCAGACAGTTTCTGGTCTCATTGACTACCATAGTAGGAAAAAATATATAGTCTGGTTACTGATGTTCTTCTAAATATCAGAAAATCAGCTGAATGGATTCGAAAACGGTAAAACTCAACTGTTGAACTCTGAGGGAGTTGTAAAATGAGCCTATTTCCAAAAAAAAAGTGGAGTATCCCTTTAAAGAAACAAGATGCAAACGACCTACCAGGGTTTGGTCTTTTCTTGTGGGCATAAACCAAAGCCATGAGCACACAGAGAGAGACGTCTCCTTTTGCCTTCAGTTGCTCCAGCTCCTGAATAGCATCTAACACTTGATCTGCAACCATAAAATAACAAGGTACACAGACACAAAGGGTATTAGACCATTTCTCAAGATGTCAAATAAAGGCAAACAGTGTTGGGGGTTGCATGATCAGATTTCCTTTTCCAAGTAACGCAGTACTTTTACATTTACAACAAAATATCTAAGTTCTTATATCATACGAATAAGAAAAAAATGTCTTTAGGCATCACTTGCTGAAGAGGCTGCGTCCGAAATCACAGACTCTTTTGAGTAGGTACTTATTTTGAATAAGTTATAACTTCACAACCGCTAATAATTATGTGCTATGTGTAATATAAATGTAATCTGGACGTACTAAATTTGCTATGTTTCCCTTATAATATTACCAACCCGCGTCAGTTGTATTTATGGCTTTAACATTTGCCAAAAATACAAGTTTTTATTTTTTGTATGCTTAGGCATTAGGCTACTTTCCATAAAAAGTAACTAAGTAAAGCAATTAGCTACTTTTTTTAGGGAGTAGAGCAATATTGTATTGTATACTTTAAAAAGATAGTAAACAGTGGGCCTCACCTTGCATGATCAGCCCATAAGCATGGAGGAATGTGAAGATTGGATCATGACTGAATTTCCGTTGAGCTTCACTGGAAACATCTACAACATGACAGGAGTATTTTTCCTGGCAGTAGTATAAGATCAAGGCCTGAAATTGGCAATAAATTCAGCAGGGTTAACTGAAAACATCAGCTATGTTGAATCAATGACAATTAAAAAGACTTTTGCTCAGTCCTACATTTTTAAAGATAAAAATCAACTATCAATTTATTAAAATTGCACATATAATGCAAACTACAAACTTAATTATAAAGCATACTTTATTATATTTTATACATCATTTTCTAAGGCCTCTATTTTATTAACATGATCAAAACTTTGCTGGAAAAACCTGCTCCATATAAACTACTACATGCCTTCTGATTGATAGTTTAATACGTTGATTTATACAAGTAAAAGCCTCTTAATATACTTGTTATAATTTTAACTCTTTCCTCTTCAGCTCGTGGTTCATGTGTATTTATTTATTCAGTGGAATTTTTTAAAAAAAATTGTAAAGTGAAGTTAAATGTAGGAATAACTTTTATATTGTTAATATTTCAAGATCAACAACTTGATAATCCATACATAATTTTATAGATCATTAAAATGTCATCAAATGATCCATCAGGCTTTCGAGGAATGTATGTATATTTGTTCATCTCACAACTTATATTTATATGCATTTTACAGAATGTCAGTAACCTTCTATACTGTTATAAAGATCTCATTGACACAAGCAATGAGAATTTCATCTTACTTTTGGCCATTGGAATAACAACATCTGCTCCCAATTTCACATTTAGCTCAGTTTGGCAATAAAACTCCATAGGCTATAGTATGAGCTCCATATTCTCTTTCACGATATGAGCCATAACAGACTGATGCATCAAATATTATACAAAACATGAAGCACACGCAGTTTCTTCTTTTCTAACATGTTTTGCCTAAAGTCTCGATAAACTGTTCCAATAAAAATATAATTATCTGACTATTATTTCATGTCAGACTTTTTCCGTTTTCTATATCAAAATGTATGAAACAAATGCTTTAGTGAGACTGTTGTTTTAATTGGTATTTCTTCACCATCCCTTTTACAAGTATTTCTACAAAACATGATGTTCATGCTCAGCTGCATTATGATTATTATGAGTGTTATGCGACCGTATTTCATGACTTACAAGCGTGCACTCCTCATCATCAACACCTGCCATAGTGTCACACACTGCAGCTGTCAACACAACCCAGGAAATATACAAGAGACGGGATTTTCCACGACGATACTCTCAGGATTTCTTTTTATCCTTTCTCTTACAGTCTGTTTCTATCCCGTTTTCGCCATCTTTGTAGTGGAGGCATCATAGTAACCAAACACGCTCCGCTGTTTCCGCTTGGAAACCAGGAAGTGACGAGTGCGTAATTCCTCTTATCACCACCTGATCACCACAGGCGCCACCACACTCTCTCATCTTTATTTGAGTGGCCTACGCGAGTAGAATATTGCATTTATGAAGTGTATAAGATCATTCACATGACGTTTCCAGCCTCAAAATATTTTAAAAGGCAGCAACTGCACTTAAGGTTTTAAGTTTAAATAGCTGTTATTAATTTATGTATTGGGAAACTGCTCCACACTTCTTATATTTACCACAAGATGGCGGCCCACTCCCTTTACATTTCTTCAACAAGTGTGACGCTGCATGATTTGAACCCTTTGAAATAAATAACGACTGCAGTTTAAATTGTGGAAAAACGTGTGTTGTTAATAAAGTCTATAAGAGTTCAAATATATGTTGTATTTGTAATGGTTTAAAATCTGTCTTTTGAGCATGGGATTTTGATTTGTGAATGTGCCGTTGTGCGTTTAAAAACTGCAAGAGATAAAACATTATTTTATTATCAGATTCTTTTCATAAACAACATAAGGAACGAGGCTTTTAACAAAATGTATTAGACTAAACACAGGTGAAAAATCATGCACAAGACAATACCTTTTCTGTTTTGTATTGTAATATTTACACAGTTTCCAATTTCTATTAAGAACAGCGCAACAAACGAGAAAGAGAGAGAGAGAGAGTCTCAGAGGTTTACATGGTTTACTCCAGATGTCAGAGGTCACAAGAGTAGTTTCAGTATGTGTATCCATAATCATTTAAGTCTGTTCACTTGGATGATCACCTGACATAACTCGTTCACTGAGATGCTGGCTGTTTTTGCATTGATGAAAGTGCATGTAAAAGTGAGGCTGGGCTGTTTTGAATAGATGCAAACTGTGCACAGGGTTGCCAACTCTCACTCTTTCAGCATCAATCTCACACTGTCACGCCAAAATCAAATTTTCTCCCCTCTCAATACTTTAATTGTCTAGTCTGTTGATGACTAGACCGCAGCATATTAATGACAGGAGAGGAGTTTAAGGCCCACAGCTCTAACATGGCTACTACGTCGTTCGCACCGTATTCTCTGATCGTTGATTCGCTGAAAATCTTGCACCTGATACGTCAAAGTTCATAGGAAGTTTAGGGTGAGGTAAACTAACCCTTTAACTTCACTTTTTGAATAAAGTATTAATTTCTTTAAAAAAAATAAAAATAACAGAAGGCCTTTATATTATATCTAATGTTTTAAATAGCCTAATATGCAATATTTACGACAGGTAAATATATAGATGCATACATGTCTGACAGGTTGATTTATGATGAGTCATTTCATGAACTCTAAATCATGTTTGACTCCTGTTGTCCAGTTTCCATTGTCACATGCATGTGAGATGGAAATGTGCTCAGATCCTCATCAGTGTTAATGAGAGACTCAGTGTTGCACAACACAGTTTGAACTCATTGATCGTGAAAGCCAGCGCTGGGTCTGTCTAAAGCAGCTGAGAAGAGCACTGTGACCTGGACACCGGCATCCCAAGCCCTGATCCCAGCTGACACACACAGGGCCGAGTCCTGTCCTAAAGGGGGCCTTTCCCCGGCCTGTCCGATAACATTCCATACACACACTGACAGATAATCATTATCAGCAGCAGTCGTCAAACACACAGTGATCAGGCTGCTGTCAGCACATGCCGTCTAGTGATGATACTTGTAGATTTCCCATTTTTAATGACGGAGAAGGTTTGTATGATCAAGATTATGTGATGATTCTCTGCACGTACAGTACAAATCAGGAATTCTCTCTAACCAAGGACTTAAAGGAGTAGTTCACTTTTAAAAAAAAAACTTTTGCTGATAATTTACTCACCCCCATGTCATCCAAGATGTCCATGTCTTTCAATGTCTCGTCTTTTTAATGCACTTCAATGGGAACCAAACGGTTCAAGGTCCAAATGAGAGTTTCAGTGCAAACTGCAAGCTGTTCAAAGGGCTTTAAACAATTCCAGACGATGAATAAGGGTCTTATCAAGAGAAACGATCGCTCATTTAAAAAATAAATAACAAAGTTTACGTTTTATAAGCTCAAATGCTCGCCTTGCTCTGTTCTGTGATGCACGTTCGTGACTCTCCTGTTCGAACTCGTTCATCAAAATGAACGAATCCTTTTTGGTCATTTGGTTCATTCAACGAACGAAAGGAACGAATTGACTCGGAAAAAGATTCGTTCATTTTAACGAACGAGTTCGAACAGGAGAGTCACGCAAGGTCTGAAAATTCAGCTTTGCATCACAGGAAAAAATTACATGTTAAAATATATTCACAGAAAACAGCATTTTAAATTGTAAAACAAAAAAGGACAATTTCTACAGTATTTTTGTTCAAATAAATGCAACTTTGTTACTATTACTAAATGTAATATACTGTATTTATATTATTTACTGTACGATAATAAATATGCTGTCAGATCAATTAATTGCATCGAACATATGCATAAGCAAGAGGAGGAACCTATGACTCTTTTTTTCATAATGTACAGTATACGTTTCCATACTATTTTTATTCGATAGCAACTCCAAAATACACACACACAATATGTGGATGGAAACATAGTGAGAAGGTTGGCTGCTGGTGAAGATGTTACTCTCTCATGACCTCAGTGTCAAAAGCACTTAAACACGTTTAGGCCAATATATACAATTACTCGGACAGCCCTGGCTCTGATCAATAGCATATGAGTGCTCTTAGACATTTACAACAGCTCCTTAAAGAACATCCTCAAACCTTCTGAGCGTAAGTCTGGTGGTTAGAGGCTCCTCTCAGCTCCATTTGCTGGATGGATGTGGTTTTCCTGTAGTTATCCTTATCAATAAATCTGGTGACCTCCACAGGACACACTGTAAGTGTCTCAAAGAGTTTCATAGGCCTTTTAATAAATAAAAATGACATGAAGTATTTAAATGGATCATTGAATGTGCAAATAAAACTTTAATGTCTAGGATTGACATGTATCAGTCAATAAGCATCAGTCTGCTATATGAGCAACTTTTCAACTGCAGTTTGTCTGTTTGCTGAACACTGTAGTAATTGTACTGTATAGTAACTAAACTGTTGTGGTACTCGAGACTCGGACTCGTCTCGGACTCGGTCTCGAGACCATATTTTAATGGTCTTGGTCTTGTCATGGACTCGTGTGCATTTGGACTCGGAATTGACTCGTACTCGAACTTTTTTTTTTTTAGGACTCGGAATTATTCCCGAGTCCACTCGAGTTCAATTAAAAATATTTTTCATGATTATTAATGTATGTTAATAAAATATTTCTTTAAATTGATTGACACGCCCAGTGATTGGTGATTTTCTAGTGCGCAACTGCGCATGACAAATTGTAATAAAATTACTTTTAACACCACCTACTATGTGGCCTTGTTACCCTAAACTGATCATATTTTTCCAAACTTTAAGTAAATTCAGTAAAAAAAAAAAAAAAAAAAGGATTTCTCTAAGTAAATAAAAGTAAATTAGGTAATCAACCCTCACTGGTCTCGGTCTCGACTCGGACTCGACCGTCTCTGGTCTCGGACTCGACTCGGACTCGACTCTCTATGGACTCGGTCTTGACTCGGACTCGACTCTCTCTGGTCTCAGTGTCGACTCGGACTCGAGTGAGGTGGTCTCGACTACAACACATATTACCATTTCTCTGCTGTAAATACATGAATACGTTCTAGGTAAGTTTAAGAACCCAAACTTTATATGTTCAGAATTTAATAAGGAACATTTTAAACAGGTTCATGCTACGTTATTATTATCTCGTGACCTCATCACATTGCATGTGTGTGTCAAATCCTTCTCATATTGTAAATAAATACATTATTTTTCCATTTTCAATTCGGTGCTGTTCAATTGAACTGCCCCACAACATTAGTTATAGACTTGGAGTAATTAATGATACTGAAAATTCAACTTTGCATCACAGAAATAAATTACATTTTAAAAGGGCCAGATATGTAGAGTTCAGAAACCTGTGATATTAGTGACACCAGTGGCCGTTAAGTGAACTGCACGCGTGCATACGTGACATACAAGAGACTCAACATGATTTAATGCACTAAACAGACTAAACAAAACAAAGCAAGTGGATTTAAAACACTTGCATGCAAGCCTGCTGGTCATTTGGTGGTGAGAAGAGCAGCAAGCAAACATGAGAAAGAGCTTTAGTAGGGAAATTTTAGAGATGATTATGCAGTTATCCTGGTTCCCTTTCATTGTCACGAGTACCGTCGGATAACGACGAATGGGGTTTCAAATAGAAAGCCTATCGACTTTGAGTATACAAAACCCATGGAACCTTATGAACTTGGTTCAAGAGTTAAAATCCTGATTTTTTTTTTTTAACATTTAGTAGTTTTGATCAGGACTGAGATTAATTAATTTATGCAAAAAAAAAAAAAAAGATTTTTAGATCAGTTTAAAGCATAGACATATACACTAGAAGTCCCCTTGGGGTTCTAAGCATGCGTCAAAACCGCCGCCATCTTGGAACAGGAGTCTTGTCATAGGAAGTAGCTAGGTAACACTGCTATCTCTGCCTTTACTTCGAATTCATTGATGGTGGCAGCGTATGATGTTCATGGATGAAATCTGAACTAGGAAGAATGTTTAAAAAAAAAAAATCTTTCTGGAATCAATGATAAATACATGTCTGACTGTTGGAAAAAAAACAAAAAAACAAGAAAAATCGCATTCATGATGACTTATGGTGATTTTATTTCCGTTAGACCTGTGTCTACTACATTGACGCTGATGCATTAAAGTGGAGGGGCTCCCCGGTTTCAAGATGGCGGCTCTATTGACGCATTCGTTCCAATGAACTGCAGTAGCCAAGGTGAGGTCTAGTGTATATGTCTATGAGTTTAAAGTAGCCTAGCATCTGTTTTCAGCCACGAACATAACGAAAGGGTAGTGAATTTGAACAATGCACAAAGTAAATGTTTACTAACAAAGTT